TTACTATTATAATATGTATATCATATTGTAAATTTATTATTATATAAATATGATAATACAGTGGGTTAAACTGCAGAGCTGCTGAACTGGTTGACCGAAAGGTTGCAGGTTTGAATCTGGGGAGAGGGGTGAGCTCCCACTGTTAGCTCCAGCTTCTGCCAAACTAGCAGTTCAAAACATGCAAATGTGAGTAGATCAATAAGTACCGCTTCTGTGGGAAGGAAACAGCAAAAACATGCAAATGTAAGTAGATTAATAGGTACCGCTTCTGTGGGTGCTCCATGCAGTCATGCTGGCCACATGACCTTGGAGGTGTCTACGGACAATGCCGGCTCTTTGGCTTAGAAGTGGGAATGAGCACCACCCCTCAGAGTTGGACACGACTAGACTTAATGTCAGAGGAAAACCTTTACCTTTACTATAGCGCATGGATAGACATGAATTCACATTACGGGTTGCATGTGGAGATGCACCGTATAAGCAGAGGCATGCATATATTGATGAGTGATAATAATGTGCACATGCATAAGTCTGTGAGCGTCGATTCCCACGCTGCCTTCTCCAGCATTTTATTTTCTATGCATTTTGCTAGGAAACCTCCTGTGGGTTGAGGTTGTGCTCTGGGTTTCACCCTTGTCCCTCCTCTTTCCCACAGCTGGCTGTACAACATGCTTGCGTCCGTTCTCAAGGGAGTCCTGCGATCAGAGGTCAACAAACAAGTAAGGTTTGGAGCATTTCAAGCAGATTCTTCCTCTCTGAACATCCTGAGAAAAAGGAGAAAATCTCGTTCTCATTGTTGATACTTAAGTGGCTGAGCAGGGAAAAGGAAAGGGCCTGAGGCTGTTAGGAATGATGGGAGTTGAAGTCCAAAAGACCTGGAGGGATGAAGTTGGCCCATGCCTGTTCCATACTGTAGAATTAATGCAATTCCTGGGTGGCCTTTAGGGACCTCTGAAGGTAATCCAGTCAAGCCCCCTTCTGCTTCATGCAGTACAAGCACCACCAAAGCCCTCCCAACAGATGGCCATCCAGCTATAATCATAAATAGAATTGGAAGGGACCTCTCAAGGCCATCCACTCCAACTCCCTTCTGCCTTCCACCAAAGCCATCCCAACAGATGGCCATCCAGCTGTAATCATAAATAGAAATTGGAAGAGACCTCTCAAGGCCATCCATGCCAGCTCCCTTCTGCCTTCCACCAAAGCCCTCCCAACCGATGGCCACCCAGCTGTAATCATAAATAGAAATTGGAAGAGACCTCTCAAGGCCATCCACTCCAGCTCCCTTCTGCCTTCATGCAGGAAAAGCACCACCAAAGCCCTCCCAACAGATGGCCATCCAGCCGTAATAATAATCATAGTAACATTAATAACAGATAGAATTGGAAGACACCTTTGAAAAACATGAAGTCCAGCACCCTTCTGCTTTCTTGCAAGAAAAGCACCAACAAAGTCTTCCCAACAGATGGTCATCCAACCTCAAGGTTTCACTATCCTCGCCCTCTGAATCTAGCAAAGCAATCACAGCATCATTTTGAGGCTGTTGCTCTGAGAAAAGTGATGAAAGGTCTTTCCCAGGAATGTGGCCTTGCTCAGGTCTCTCTCTCTTCTGGACATAACAACTCAGGCCCGGGTATAATAATAATAATAATAATAATAATAATAATAATAATAATAAGCCTTACATTGTTAGCAATGGTGGGAGTTGAAGTCCAAAACACCTGGAGGGCCCAAGTTTTCCCCATGCCTGTTCTATACTGTAGAATTAATGCAGTTTGGCCCCAGTTTCACTGCTATGGCTTCATGCTATGGAGCCAATCAAGGCCTTGAGCATCTTTTCTGCCACCACTCCCAGGATTCTATAGCCTTGAGCCATGGCAGTTAAAGTGGGATCAAACTGCATTAATTCCACAATGTAGACACACTCTTGGGTTCAATGCAGCCCCTTGAATTGAGGACTGAGAAACACCCTGAGCCTCATAACTTCATCTGGATTCTCTTTACTTTTAGCTATGCACCGAGGTCAAGAAAGGAATTGATGGATTGGAACAAGTCCTGAGGACTATGAATGGTGAGCAGGACTAACCAGAAATTTGCCTAATGCATTGGCCCATTTAGGCTTCCCTTCCTTTCACCTGCTTTTCTCTCTGCCCTTCTCCAGTTTCATCCCAGATCGACCGCTTTGCTGGCATTGACTACTCCTTGGTGAATCCGCCGGCCGTTGGTGCGGATCGATGTGATGTGGACCTCAAGGTAGTTCAGTGATTCTATCTTCTTTGCAAATTGAAAACTGCTCTGGCTTTTGTCTTCCAAGACTCAGCTTCTACAAGAAGTCATGTTGGGACAGTGTTTCTCAACCTTCTTAATGCCATGACCCCTTAATACAGTTCCTCATGTTGTGGTGACCCCCAACTATAACATCATTTACGTTGCTACTTCATAACTGTAATTTTGCTACTATTATGAATCGTAATGTAAATATCCAATATGCAGGATGTATTTTCATTCACTGGACCAAATCTGGCACAAATACCCAATATGCCCAATATTGGTGGTGTTGGGAGGGATTGATTTTGTCATTTTGGAGTTATATTTGCTGGGATTTATAGTTCACCTACAATCAAAGAGCATTCTGAACTCCACCAATGATGGAATTGAACCAAACTTGGCACACAGAAATCCCATGACGAACAGAAAACACTAGAAGGCTTTGGTGGGCATTGACCTTGAGTTTTGGAGTTGTAGTTCACCTACATCCAGAGAACACTGTGGACTCAAACAATTATGGATCTGGACCAAACTCTACACGAATACTCAATATGCCCCAGTGTGAACACTGGTGGTGTTTGGGGAAAACAGACCTTGACATTTGGGAGTTGTAGTTGCTGGGATTTATAGTTCACCTACAATCAAAGAGCATTCTGATCTCCACCAACTATAGAATTGAACCAGACTTGGCACACAGAACTCCCATGATCAACAGAAAATACTGGAAGGATTTGGTGGGCATTGACCTTTAGTTTGGGAGTTGTAGTTCACCTACATCCAGAGAGCACTGTGGACTCAAACAATGATGGATCTGGACCAAACTTGGCACTGATACTCAATATGCCCAAATGTGAACACTGGTGGAGTTTGGGGGAAATAGACTTTGACATTTGGGAGTTGTAGTTGCTTTTCTTCTCATTCAACCTTCATAGATAGATAGATAGATAGATAGATAGATAGATAGATAGATAGATAGATAGATAGATAGATGATAGATAGATACCATAGATGGATAGATGGATGGATGGATGGATGGATGGATGGAGGGAGGGAGAGAGGGATAGCTGGATAGGGAGATAGGTGATGATAGATAGATAGATAGATAGATAGATAGATAGATAGATAGATCGATCGATCGATAGATACCCTAGATGGATAGATGAATGGATGGATGGATGGATAGAGGGATAGCCAGATAGGGAGATAGATAGATGATAGATAGATAGATAGATAGATAGATACCATAGATGGATAGATGGATGGATGGATGGATGGGGGGATGGATAGATAGAGATAGGGAGATAGATAGATAGATAGATAGATAGATAGATAGATAGATAGATAGATAGATAGAGATAGATAGGATAGAATCCTAGAGTTGGGACGCCAAGGACCATCCAGTCCAACTCTTAAGACATAGATAGATAGATGGATGGATGGATGGAGAGATGAGAGGAGAGAGATAGATAGATAGATAGATAGATAGATAGATAGATACCGAAGATGGATGGATGGATGGATGGATGGATAGAAGGATAGCTGGATAGGCAGGCAGACAGACAGACAGACACACACACAGAGAGAGAGAGAGAGAGAGGAAGGAATAGCTGGATACACTTACAATCAGAGAGCATTCTGAACCCCATCAATGATAGAATTGGGCCAAACTTCCCATACAGAACCCACATGACCAACAGAAAATACTGTGTTTTCTGATAGCCTTTGGTGACCCCTCTGACACCCCCTCGCAACCCCCCCAGGGGTCTTGACCCTCAAGTTGAGAAACACTGTGTTGGATGATCTAAAGTGTTCTCTTTAGAAATAAGCAGAAATTGTTTATGCTGATCTTCAAATAGTCAAATCCACCAAAGACAAGTGTCTGGTTACTCCATGAATTTTGTACCCTTTTCTTATGCAAGGAGTCCATAGAGGTGGTTTTGCGAGTTCCTCCCTTGAAACAGAGCCAACAGCATGTTGGTGGCCTCCCATCCAAGTCCTAGCCACAGATCACCCTGCTTAGCTTCCTTGATCAAATGGGATCTTCTGCCTTTGATGTATTCAGCCCCATGGTTACTTATGAAGGACATGTCTTGTCTTGGAGTGGTTCATTCACCTAAGCCAATCATTTGGGATGCGCCTTGAGAGGCTCCCTTGTACCCATCGTTTGTGGGATAAACCAACAAAATAAAGGCAGTCACAATAAAGACAAGAGCGCTCTGAGCATGTACGGAGTGGATTGCTTTCCTAGCAATGGAAATCACAAACCATATCAGCAGTCGTTGAGGCAGATGATGCTTTGGCTCCAAAGGAGCTTCCATAATCTTTGATGCCCTGGTATATTTTTTTAATGACTCTTAGATCTTGGGTCCAGTTTGCCAGCCTTCTTCTCTGATGGATCTACACTGCCATATAATCCAGTTGAATGCATGGATTATACGGCAGTGTAGATGGGGCCTCATGAGCTGTGCCATCGAGTGGGTTTGTCCCAGCAGGAGGGAACCCTCTTGCGAATGTAATATTGTGTCCTCCCTGATTTCTCCATCCTTCCCTCTTGTGCCTTTCAGGGCGAATTCTTCATGGTTGGCAAACCCTCCCAAAGCCCTCTCCTCCCAGTCCCTTTCCACCTGCTCAACCAGTCAGACTCCATGCTCCAGTTGGGGGTCTCCGACTTCTTTGTGAACTCTGCTGCTTCGGTGTATTTCAATGCCGGGGCCCTCCAGGTGAACTACACAGATGAGATGGTAAGCTCCGGAAAGGAGGCAACCGCCTTGAAAGGGAAAGGGATCGAGGAGTCTTAGTGGATCGCAAGCTCAGCATCAGTCGTTGGTGCAATGCAGCAGCTAAAAAAGCAGCTAAAGAGCCGGCTTTGTCCATAGACACCTCCAAGGTCATGTGGCCAGCATGACTGCATGGCGTGCCAGTACTTTCCCGCCAGAGCAGTACCAATTGATCTACTCACATTTGCATGTTTTCAAGCTGCTAGCTTGGCAGAAGCTGGGGCTAACTGCTCATGTCGCTCCCCAGAATCGAGCCTGCAACCTTTTGATCAGCAAGTTCATAAAGAGCCGGCGTTGTCCATAGACACCTCCAAGGTCATGTGGCCGGCATGACTGCATGGAGCGCCATTGCCTTCCTGCCGGAGTGGTACCTAGTGATCTACATACATGTTTTCAAATTGCTAGGTTGGCAGAAGCTGGGGCTAACGGCGGGAGCTCACCCCACTCCCTGGATTTGAACTGAAGACTTTTTGGTCAGCAAGTTCAGCAGTTTAACACACTGCGCCACTGACTAAAGACCTTGTAAAACCATACTGTAATACTGGAGGAAGGGAAGGCAGGATAAGTGTTATAGAATCCAGGGAGTTGTAGTTTTACATATTCTTTATCCTTGTATTGTCGAAGGCTTTCATGGCCGGAATCACTGGGTTGTTGTAGGTTTTTTTGGGCTATATGGCCATGTTCTAGAGGCATTTTCTCCTGACGTTTCGCCTGCATCTATGGCAAGCATCCTCACTACCTCTGAGGATGCTTGCCATGGATGCAGGCAAAACGTCAGGAGAGAATGCTTCTAGAACATGGCCATATAGCCAGAAAAAACGTACAACAATCCAGTTCTTTATCCTTCTTTGCCAAACTGCAATTCCTAGGATTCCGTAGCACTGAGCTATGGCAGTTCAAGTGGTATTAAACTGCATTACTTCCACAGTGTAGATGCACGTTAAATAAGTCTGTTTCTGTTTCAGATCCCGAAGAACACTTTTCTCCACCTGAACACAAACGACATGGGGCCATTCATCCCAGAGGTGAGTAGGAAGGAAGAAACAATAGGACGGCGGGCAGAGCGTCACCGAAAAATATATTTTGGGGGGGAAAGCGGATTGGGTTTCAGCGCCCCTCCCTCCTCTTTTCAAGGCCCCAAAATGGAGCTATGAAATATGTATGAAGCGCTTTCTCCCTTCTGGAATGCTGAGCGAAGGACTTTTTTCAGAGCATAGTTTTGCAAATTATATTGTGACAGCCAATTCGCGCAGCTGGAGATCGGAGATCCAGGATTAATCTATTGTAACATTAGCGAGAGGCTCCCGTCTTTTGACAAGATTAGTAATCAAGCAATATTCTTTGGGTAATGGAAGAGCGCGCTCAAACATCGCGGAGAGCAAAGGATTGGGGAGCCGGGGGGAGAATCTATCTATCTATCTATATATCTATCTATCTATCTATCTATCTATCTATCCTATTTTGGACTACAACACCCATCATCCCAAACCATACAAGTGCAGTCTGGAGAGAAAGTCCAACATATACAAACAACTTGCTTGCTACTATTCTAAAGGCTGAATATATATTCGTAATCAGAGGGGGAAAGGTTCAAAGTCTTTCTTTAAAACAGTCAAAGTATCTGTGCACTTATTTATTTATTTGTGTTTGTCTGTTTGTATTGCAAAGGCTGTTGCTAGGTGAAGGATTGGCTGTTGCTAGGTGAAGTGACCCTCTGTGATGATACTGAGCTTGCTATTGCTAGGTGAAGGATTAGCCATTGCCAGGTGAAGTGGTCCTCTACTATGACACTGAATTAGCTGTTGCTAGGTGAAGGATTGGCTGTTGCTAGGTAAAGTGGCCCTCTACTATGACACTGAATTAGCTGTTGCTAGGTAAAGGATGGGCTGTTGCTAGGTAAAGTGGCCCCTTGCAATGTCACTGAATTTGCTATTGCTAGGTGAAGGATTAGCTGTTGCCAGGTAAAGTGGCCCTCTGTGATGACACTGGATTGACTGTTGCTAGATGAATGATTACCTGTTTCTAGGTAAAGTGGCCCTCTGTGATGTCACGGAATTGGTTGTTGCTAGGTGAAGGATGGGCTGTTGCCAGGTGAAGTGACCCTTTGCGATGTCACTGAATTGGCTGTTGCTAGATAAATGATTATCTGTTGCCAGGTGAAGTGGCCCTCTGTGATGTCACTGAATTGGCTGTTGCTAGATGAATGATTATCTGTTGCTAGGTAAAGTGGCCCTCTGTGATGTCACTGAATGGGTTGTTGTTAGGTGAAGGATTGGCTGTTGCCAGGTGAAGTGACCCTCTGCAATGATAATGAATTTGCTATTGCTAGGTGAAAGATTAGCTGTTGCTAGGTAAAGTGGCCCTCTGTGATGTCACAGAATTGGATCCTGCTAGGTGAAGGATTGACTGTTGCTAGGTAAAGTGGCCCTCTGCGATGACACTGAATTGGCTTTTGCTAGGTGAAGAATTAGCTGTTGCCAGGTGAAGTGGCCCTCTGCAATGTCACTGAATTGGGTGTTGCTAGGTGAAGGATTGGCTGTTGCCAGGTGAAGTGGCCCTCTGTGATGTCATGGAATTGGATGCTGCTAGGTGATGTTGGGGTTCAGCCTGAGTTTGAACTTGAACCTGATTCTCTGTTTGTTCCTCCTGATGCTAATGAAAGTATATTTACTGATGCTAGTGGAAATGTACCTTTTGATGCCAATGCTCCTGAAATTAGTGAGGAAGAAACTGCTGTAGGTTTGGAAAATGCCAATGTTCCTGAAATTAGTGAGGAAGGAACTTCTGTAGATTTGGAAAATGAAAGTACCAGTGTTCATGAGAATGTTTCAGAGGGAGACCTTGAACTTTCCCTCCCTTCTGCACCTGTTAACTGTAATGACAACAGAAGGGGCCAAATTTGGGAAGACAGAAGTAAATCACTCAGTTTGCGTCGATCCTCCCGAATTCAAGAATTAAAAACATTGGCTTCAAAACAGAAGGGCGGTTCACGGAACCAATTCTTGAGTTTTAATTGCAATACGCCGGGCTGACTGTCTCAGTTCAGGCATCGTTTCAGAATTGATGAAGACCTTGGCAGTTCTCCCGGTTCCCTGGCCATAGTTTGGGAAGATTTCTAGGATATCAAGTACGGTTAGTGGATTGCTAACAGATTCCAGTATTTCCCAGTGAGGCTTTTGGTTTTGCTTTGTCCATTTAAATTCATGTTTGCTGATTTTGCTGTGGCTTTTGACTTGCATTTTTCCTTTATTTTGTAACCATTTTTCTTCAATAAAAAAGGATTGTTTTTCACAGCCAAGTGTGGTGGATGGTTATCTTAGGGACTCGTTCCCTGCTCTGGATTGCAACAGGTGAAGGATTAGCTGTTGCCAGGTGAAGTGACCCTTTGCGATGATACTGAATTTGCTATTGCTAGGTGAAGGATTAGCTATTGCCAGGTGAAGTGGCCCTCTGCAATGTCACTGAATTGGCTGCTGCTAGATGAATGATTAGCTGTTGCTAGGTAAAGTGGCCCTCTGTGATTTTACGGAATTGGATGCTGCTATTCGCTGTTGCCAGGTGAAGTGGCCCCTTTCAATGGCACCGAATGGGTTGTTGTTAGGCGAATGATTGGCTATTGCTAGGTGAAGTGGCCCTGTGAAAGGACACTGAATTGGCTGCTTCCAGCTAGAGTAGCCTTCTGCAATGTCACTGAATTGGCTGTTGCTAGGTGAAGTGACTTTCTGTGATCTCACTGTGTATGAGAGGAAGCGAGGAAAGAAAGAAGAGAAAGAAACAAGAAAGAAAGGAAAGGAGAAGGAGGGTAGAGGTAACAAAAGAGGGGGAGGGAGGGAGGGAGGGAGGGAAGGAAGGAAGGAAGGAAGGAAGGAAGGAAGGAAGGAAGGAAGGAAGGAAGGAAGGAAGGAAGGAAGGAAGGAAGGAAGGGGAAAAGGTATTGAGGAGAGGAAAGAAAGTGAAGAGCAGTACGTGCGAAAAAGATCTTGGAGTCCTCGTGGACAACAAGTTAAACATGAGCCAACAATGTGATGTGGGCAAAAAAAGCCAATGGGATTTTGGCCTGCATCAATAGGAGCAGAGTGTCTAGATCTAAGGAAGTCATGCTACCCATGCTCTATTCTGCTTTGGTTAGACCACACCTGGAATATTGTGTCCAATTCTGGGCACCACAATTGAAGAGAGATATTGACAAGCTGGAATGTGTCCAGAGGAGGGCAACTAAAATGATCAAGGGTCTGGAGAACAAGCCCTATGAGGAGTGGCTTAAGGAGCTGGGCATGTTTAGCCTGAAGAAGAGAAGGCTGAGAGGAGACATGATAGCCATGTATAAATATGTGAGAGGAAGCCACAGGGAGGAGGGAGCAAGCTTGTTTTCTGCTTCCCTGGAGACTAGGACTCAATGGAACAATGGCTTCAAACTACAAGAGAGGAGATTCCATCTGAACATGAGGAAGAACTTCCTGACTGTGAGAGCCGTTCAGCAGTGGAACTCTCTGCCCCAGAGTGTGGTGGAGGCTCCTTCTTTGGAAGCTTTTAAACAGAGGCTGGATGGCCATCTGTCAGGGGTGCTTTGAATGCAATATCCTGCTTCTTGGCAGGGGATTGGACTGGATGGCCCATGAGGTCTCTTCCAACTCTGATTCTATGATTCTATGAGGGCACTGGGAATTAAGAACGAATGAAAGAAGGGAGGAAAAGGGAAAAAGAAAGGAAAAGAAAGGAAGGGAAAGAAAAGGAAAATATAAAGAAAAGATAGAAAAGAAAAGAAGGCGTGTGTGTGTGGGAAAGCAAGGGAAGAATCCTAACTTGGCCATGGAAAGCTTGGGCAAGTCACACTCTCTCAGCCTCGGAGGAAGCCAAATTCAAACCTACATGAATACATATTGCCAAGAAAATCCCACGAGAGGGTCACTCTAAGTTGGAAATGACCTGAAGGACACACAGCAACGTGGTATCTTTGCTCAGCCTGCAAAAAGGAGCTAAAATACATTTACAAAATTGGCTTCGTTGGTGCAAAAATTATG